AGTCTTAAATTAAGAAAGCATTTAAGATTCCAACCAGCTCATGTGAGAGCTATTGCCGGGAGGCTTCAGAAAAAATATTTTTTTGATAAAAAATTTAGATCTAGGGGGTGTAAAACAACTTCTGGGAGGGTCGTAGATTGCGACGGGAAGTCATCCAATTGAAGGCTAAAATTAAGCTCAGGTCAAGGAAGAATTTAAGCCGGGTTCAGGAAGCAAAAAGTTTTGATACTACAACCACATATTTATACCTGGGAAAGAAGGCTGTGATTTGGCTTTGAAGGGCAGCAGTGGCAACATCCGCTAGATCATGGAAGAGGTTTCTGAGCAACTTTCAGCTCCTCTATTTTTTTTTTGCTAATCTACGGAGGGAATTCTTGGATGAAGTTGAAATGTGTGGCTTTTATTTGATGGAGCTCAAATGTGCAGGGCAAGGTATTTTTTTCTGTCTGAGCCTAAAACATGAATTAAGTTGGGTTAGCTGAGCATGGTGGGCCTTGGCTCGATTAATCAATGCTGAGATCAAGATGTCTGTCTCATAAAAGAGCTCATGACGAAGTTGAATCGATAGTTGTTATTGTTAACTCCTGAAACGACAGTCAGAGGACTGCCCGAGTCAGCTGACTGCTGGTCTCGTTCTCCTAGTGATTGTGGTCTGCGAAGAAGCTGTTCCTGTTGATGGAAACTTGTAGGTTGAAAGTGGATCTACCTTTCGTAAGGGTCGATCGACTGACTTGACTTGAAGTTGAGACTGCCCCTCTTCATGACCAGTCTCATTCCACTGGCCAACAGCCCAATCAACGCACTCGCTTCGAGAGAGCCTTGATAAAACCTTCTGCCTTTGAGCAGCTGTTCCTCTTGATGCATTCCTTCACCTAATTTATACATAGCCATTGACTGAAGCCCCACTTTTACTATTGATCGAGGGTCCCCTCGTCAATTCGACTGGTTCAAGCTCAGACCTGCTCGAGCTATGAGTTAGTAAATGTTGTTTATGATTGTTTGAGTTAATCCCATTTGCCCTGTGCTATGTATGCTGATATTTTAGACTTCCTTTGTATCTGATCAGTCCCCCGGTTCGATCTCATGGATCCCGTCCAACACTTCTCCGATACTAGGTGAGTCCCTCGTCCACGAGTTTATCAAGTCTGCTCTCTCAACTCAAGCTGACCTTGTCGTTCCCAGTACAGCCCATTGACGATTGAACTCTTCTCATGAGAGCACAACCAGCCAGAAGCTGATCACCCCCCTTGGACAGTCGCTGGCTCTGTATCACTATCACGACTGATTAATGATTGTTGAACACACAAAAACAGATTGTATTCAGCAGTTGCTCTTAAACTGATAACAGCAGGACATCCGCCTTCAAAATCAACTGGTGGACCCTCTCTATAATCCGACTGCATAAATTGCACAACTTTCACACCCTTTTCTCCTCCAAGGGACCGACTTATACTGAAGCTGAGGAACCCCGAACCACAAGCACTCACAAAGGGATCACCGCAGGATTGGATGGACCCCATCGCCCAATCTGTTTCTCCTTACCCTTCGACCATCCCCACTAATAACTACCCCCGTCACAGCTCGGGTCGGATTTGTACTATCATCAGGGATCGACAGTCTCGTCTGTCGATAACCTACCCTCAACAACACATTCACAAGAAAAATGCATCTTCTCCAACACGCCCGATCCTTCGCTCTCAACTCACTTCGACGGGTTAAGAAGTCGAGGAATACCATCCCCGTCCTTAAAGGTCTGTCGACCTGATTAATTCACTCATAACATAATTTAGTCGCGTCAATCGACGTGTTCTAATACACCAATGGTGACCATAAGCATACTGGCGCCCTCGATCAAATTCGCCCACTTAGAGAGGGTGGCATTTGAAGAGAGAACGGTCATCTATCCGGCGCCATGAGCTCGCATCAGGCAACTTGTTGAATAACATAAGGAAATATGTCTCAAGAAGCTGACATTCAACTTGCACATTTCACACTTCCTACTTACAGGCACATTGGCATATTTGCTCTTCTTCATCCTCTTCTTCCTGAAACCTTTTCAGGGCTTATTTCCAAACCCAATCACTGGAAGCAGTGCGGTCTTGATAACCATTGTCAGTAAGTTTGACTGTATTTCATCTTTTCCTATTCAACTTGACGGGTTTTGGTTAAGTTCAGCAGCCATCAAGTAACTTGCATGTATCAAACCTGACCATTTTGTGACTCTCATCATTTTCGGTAGGCTTTCCCGGATGGTCAGTTGACGCATGCTTGGACTCGCTCTTCCTTGGGATGCTCGGCGCCGTAATAGGAGGTCTCAACTTCCTTATCCTCGGCAAACTGGCACCCTATCCAGTTGCCCAAGCGGTTGTGTTTTTCCCGATTTTGTATAGTAAGCTCATTCTAGATTGTCTTTCCGCAATCGGTTACAAAATTTGAGTCTTCCGACTTCTGATTTTCTTTTTTTGGTTTGTTTTGATCATTCTCCATGGTATTTCCTACAATTTAATCTTGACCGGTTCTCGATTGACGCGCTCAGCCTTCGCTCTTATCAAGACGAAAAATCCGAAATACCTCATCTTGTCGCTGATTTGCATTTCTATGAGCTGGAATGGCGTCTATAACTCTACCTTGAGTCCCAATCGGCAATACTCCCACAAATTATTGGAAAGCTATCTCCAAACTTATGCCTGGGCTGGTGCCATAGTCGTTTTCGTCAACGTATTCATACTTCCTCATTCCAGTGAAGCAGTTGAGCATTTTCCGCCTTTTTCTTATCCTATAAGAAATGATTTTGCCAATTAAAACTAGAATCTGACTTGATTCCATTCCACAGGAACTCCGGACAACCCTCGTCCACTCCATCGACCATATCAGAACACTTTCCTTCTTAATTAAAAAGACCTATTGGTGCACGATCACGGATGAGGAATCCAAAGTTCGGGATAACTTGGTTCAATCCATTCGAGCCGATTTCCATGTCCTGCAAGCCAAATTAAACCGAACGTTCTTAGGAATCACTTATTCGAAATGGTCAGGGGACGACTACAAGAAAATGGTACAACTCACCAAATCGATGCAACAATCCTTGATCTCCACACATTCCAACTTGAGCAATATGAAACAATCTGAAGCAAGGATCTTTATTGACCAAGTCACGGCAACTGGATACGTGAATTCGGATCTGCTACGCAAGTATGTCTACGTCGGTCTCACGGAAGTCCAGAAAGAGCTAGCCTTAGGGTCCGAATCAGCCCCGTTTGTGCGTGCGGAGATGGAATTGCTGAAAGATATCAATCTAGAACGCCTTTCAAAAACCGAACCACAGCCACTACTACGATCTAGCCCTCGAGCACATGTGAGAGGCAATTCCTCCGGTAGAAATCCGGGTGGTCAAGAAGCTGCCTCTCAACTAACCGATATGCAAAACCAAATCGCGCTCGAGATATCGGAACAGTCATCTGGAACGACTGATCCATCCCGACAATCTCCCGCAGATCTGGAAAACACTCTTCCGAACTGCTATTCACCCAACAGTTATGACTTTACCGCGCTCGCCTATCAAACTACACCAGCGAGTCTCCTGGACAGGGCGCAGTCGGCCCAAGTGAACTTCTCGATTCGTCAACACTGGAATAACTCGCAAATGCACCAACACGAGGTTATCGGGCAGATCTATCAATCAGGAAAGGTCTACCATCCACAAGAACCATTACTCGTCGAATCGATCACTACCTCATTCCGAAGGGACTTCTTAGAAAACAGGCCTTATAATGATAACGGAAGACAACATTTAGAGATAATCAGTACTGCATATAGGCGCTCTTCTCTCCTTCAACCCATCTTGTCTCCAGCTGATGGTGTCTCGCGAGATCCATCTCACGATGAGTCTCCCGAAACAACTGGATCATTCGAAAAAACACAGCTGAATGAGTATAACAATGACGAGCTGCAGCGCTCCTTACTGAGGACATTCTCTCATTCATTCATCATGGGTATGTTTCTCGAGGACCTTATCGAGTTGAGGGAGTTTGTCATGGGGACACGGGGCGATGAGCAGCCACGTCGCAAGAAGTTTCATACCACTTTCTGGTTGCCCCTGAAAGCGCGTCTAGGCTTCCGGACCCATCGTCACTCAGAACATGAATCCCGATCCTCGACTGATCACAGCGCAGAGGAAGAAATGACGATGCGAGAAGCCCTCGAAACGCTGAAGGGCAATCAATACGTGCCCAACAAGATGTCTCTCCTTGAACGCGTCCTTCTGATTGAAAAGTTCTTGAGAAGTCCTGATAGTATTTGTGCATTCAAGGTGGCATGTGCTGTCACTACGCTTGCGGTACTGTATTGGTGCAATTCGACGCGTGACTTCGCACAGAAATACAACCTCAACACGGCCATTATCACTCTAGTCGTTGCTATCACTCCTACCCTAGGGCAGAGCTGGTTAAGCTTCATGTTGCAGATCAGCGGACAAGGACTGGGACTGCTGTATGGAATGATGTAAGCTAGATTGACTCCTTGATCACTTTGGTCTAATCCTAGGGGCGCTCCTTCCTTGATGGCCTGCTGAACCCTGTTGGATCCCTGGTCTGATTTCTCATCAATATTAGAGCGTTAGAACTGTTCAAAAACGTCGGAGGTTACAGGTACAATCCGTATGGGATCATTGCAGCGATGGCTTTGTTTGCAGTGCCGATGAATGTGGTGCTCTATACGAACCCGAAATTGTTTGTGATGTCCCTGCTGGCGATGAACTCGGCCGGAACACTGGTGTATCCGCTCTATTTGAACCAGAACGTGCCGTTCGATTCACCAGTTTACCGGATGGGCAAAAGCCTCACTTCGCTAGCAATCGCCATAGCCATCGTGAGCTTCTTCCAGCTCTTTGTCGTGCGCAATCCGGCTCGACGGACTCTGAGGAAGGCGATGGCTAAGGTGATGAAGGCCAACACCGCATATACCGTCATCTTGCAGGCTTACGTTTCATCTAGTTGAGTCAAGTGGTATGGTCGCAGAGGCAACTCATTTCTGGAAACTGACGTACTTGAATCTTCTCCCCGGCCATACAAACCTTCTCAGCCATCCCAACCGATCCTAGTCATCGATCATCACCGAAAGTGATCCAGAGGGTCGCAAAGGATCTAATGAAGCGAGAGGCTCGAATACAAGCTGACATCACCGCATTGATGCCGTTGATGAAGTAAGGAAGAAGCTGTCTTGGTTTTAACCTACAAATGTGTTTTCCAGATTTGCTGATGAGACTTTTTAATCCGCACTCCCATCGCACAGCTTTGCAAGTGTCGAGCCCGCCTTTGGTAAGCCTTTTAATGCCGCTGAATATTTGAAAATTGCCCGGTAAGTCGCACACACCAACATCAAATCAGAACTCGGGGGTTATTATAAGGATGAGCTAATAATTATCAACGTTCTATTCCTCTAGAGCTAACCAGCTAATTTTGGGTAAGTGTGAAAAAATCAACTTACAACCACAGCAGATTTCTTGAGTCCCAGGATTGACAATGACCTATGATGTTCTGCTTCTGCCGCTGTTCAGATCGGAATCGTGATGCTCGGATCGCGATCGGAACAAGACCATTGCCGACAAGGATCTTGACCGAGTTTGTCGAAAAGCTAGCACCTTATCGCCGTGCATCCCTGTCCCGTATCAAGACCTCCTTGTATCTCTGTACATCCACTCTTCAATCCAAGGTACTTCGTTTAAGATCCCCCCTCCCCCCCACCTTGAAGGGTTCACTTTGTCCTAAGTATAACTCGAAGATTGTTAGGCAATGTACTAATGCATGAAACAATGGCTACAATTCATTTAGTTCCCTTTACCCGAAAATATCAGCTCCTCGGGCAACCAGGAATTCGGCCAGGAAATCTTACACGACGCCTTGGTTTTGGCTTGTCGATTGGCCACTTCACCGGATGGCTTACAGCTGGTCAAAAGCAAAGAACTGACCCGGTATTGTAAGACTGTTCCTTAATCTCCTCCTCCTCTATATTCTCTTAATCTTCTTCATTCAGAACTTCCCTGCCTTAAAACCCTACCTCCCCTAGCTACTCGTGTCTTACCTTTTTTTGGTTTTCTTTTTATCTCTCTCTTTTTTTTCGAGGAATAGGGTTGTATCTGTCTAGCATTAATAGCGGGTTCGCACAACTCGAATGTATCCAAGAATCTGCGTAAGTATTTAGTATTCTGCAACTTCCGACCAATCGTCATCTTTTTCTTCTTCTTCTTCCCCTAGATATTTACAAAAGAAAAGAAAAAAAAAACTCACTAAAGGTTTCTCTTTGGTCTTTTTTTGGGGGGTTCGATTGGTTGCATTCTTTTATTTTATTTTTAAAAAAAAAAACAGTAAAAAGATCTTTGGCAGGCTCGAGGATGAGACATTCAATTATTACAAAGAAGTTTCTTAGATCTTCATCTTCATTAATCATCTCAATCAATTCTAATTCGTCTTTCTTTTCGGCTCTTCATACATCGTTTATTCTCATTGGGGTTTTTTTTTTCTTTGCTACGCTAGAATTACCCCGATTCTTCTTCTTATTTCTTCCTTGTGGACGGGGGCTTCATTGACATTGTTGTTCCAAATCATTTTTATCTTTTTTTATTTACTCTCTGCAACATTGGGCTGCAAAAAATAGCATATATTACTTTAATGAAGGGCATGTTTGATCTAGTACTAAGTTTCTTTCCCATATCATGATGAATTTGATGTGAGTACATATTAACATAATGAGTATCTCTTATCCAAAATCTTTGTATCTCTTGTGTCTGTCACTAGTATGTTATATAGATCGCAATTTCATTACTTTTGAATCGTAGTAAAAAGTCTCCAAAGTTTGGGTTGGAATCATAGACTATAATTTGGTAGCGGCCAGACCAATTTAAACTGCATTTTACTGATCCTGATGCTGATGCTAAACATTGCACACAATTTCACACCCATCAGAAAAACCTCGATCTTGATCTTGAAGGGTTCTGTGAGAATTAGGTGTTGATCAGCATCATGAGCATCAGCAAACTGGTGTTCAAGCTCCTGGCCAATGTGACTTGCCCTATGTTGAATGTTCAAGTGCGGGGATACTTCATTTGGATTTCCACTGGTTCATGTTCTTACAAATTTATGTAATCCCCTAATACATTAAGCCTTGCACATAATTTGCCTCGAGGGATATTTCCTACCTTACATTACTTATTTAGATGGATTCTTGTTGGCCAGAAACTACTCATATCAGGATGTTTGCTGAGTTAAGATACCAACAAAACTTCAAAGTGAGGAACCCGCTCCAGTGGCGGCCCGAGCCCGCCCCATTGGCATTACCATCCTTAAAATCAGGGCATCCGTCAGATGGCAAACGTCCATGCCTGTATCCTCGATAAGGCCTTCATCAACTCTGCCTAGACTCTGCTCAAACCACTAAAAACATGAACTTAGAAAACTTATCTTACACATTGGCTTCTGGAAATGCAATCTGTTGCACTGTTTCGAATGGCCCTAGTGTAGAACTTTCTCTCAGCTGACAGGCCGAGTCTGGAGTTGAGAATCATACTATCAGGTCACGTGGGCCCTACGACATGGTACTCCTACTATCTAGGTGAGACGCCGCCCGGTCACGTTCGGCTCCATCGGCCAAGCTTTGCCCTTCCGGTGTGCTGTATTTAGTGCAAAACAAGGCATCCGGTTTCCATCATCAGATGGCAAACGTCCTTTTCTGTATCCTCGATAAGGCTTCCAGCAACTCTACCTAGACTCTGCTCAAACGACTAAAACATAAACTTGGATTTCAAACGGGAGTTTGCCTGCAGATAAAGTCAATGAATCAGATTTGTAAACAGCTTGGGACTGAGAGACGCCGTTGCGAAACATGCTATGTCGTCAACTCAAAGGTCTGCTGCTGCATTTCGCGGTGCTTCGATTATCAAACGAATGGAAGATTCCATCATCAACCGGTGTTTACTCAGGTCGCTAGCGCCGTCGGGCAACCATTTACCTCTATAGCATCCCATGTTCACATCAAACAGCTGCCTCTATCTGAGGGCAAAATCAGTGTCTACAGTTAGCTCAACACAAGCTCGTCAGTTCGGAGGACCGAGTGTCTGAAGTTTAATGTCACAGGAAGAAAACTAAAAAACGGAGCCAAGATTGCTTCACCACTACCTGAGAATCGCCCATGCGAGATACTGCTTGGTGCTTAGAGATCGGTTTCAAGTTGCGGCACTGAAGACTATAAAAATAATGAAGGGTCCCATCAGGTCCCATCATCAACCGCTGATTCCGCAGATTCCTAGAGCCACTTCATCATCTCATCCTTTGTCCGGCGACCATGTTCATTCACTCAGATTACCACAAAATAATAGCCTTGCTCAGCTTTTTCTACCTCCGAGCAGGCTGCTTCGAGACTGGCTTGCGTACAGTAGTTGAGCGCTATAACCACGGTATGATTTGTTTTTTATATTATTTCCCTGGGGCCTCTGAATCCGACAGAGATCTTAACTAGTTGCGTCACGTCTCTCCCTAAAAAAATCACTTTCAACTTGCGCAAACACGGTTGAAAATCAACTTGACGGGATGAACACAGGCGAAACTCATGCGCAGATCGTTTTGATGAGACACGGCGAAAGCGAGGCCAACGGTATGCTTTGGGATATAAATATTTTGACCCGTAGTAGCTCGTACTGACATTCATGATTAACCCCACTTCTAGAGAAGAGACTGTTTTCTTGGCCCGCTGTACCGCTGACTAAAAAGGGATGCGATGAAGTGGAATCTGCTGCCACAACACTCAAGGGTCATAGGATTGCTTTTGATCGTGCATATACTTCCGGTTTCAAACGTGCTCAAGACTCCCTGACTATCACTCTCGAAACCCTCGGTTATGCCAAAAGCAACATTCCGATCAAGAAGGCGCCAGAACTCAACACACGAACGTTTGGAGAATGGACTGGAAGGCCCTACGCTGAGGCCAGGGCGACGCTTGGTAGTGAAAATGTTAACCATTGGTTTGGTATCGATTATAAAATCTTCCCGGATGTGCCCCCTCGTGGTGGCGAGACTTTGGAAGATTGTGACAAGCGAGCGCAAGCCTATTACACCCAGGAAATACATAGGAAAGTCTTAGCTGGAGAGAAGATCTTAGTGGTTGCTAGTAGGAATCCCATTTAGTGTGTCAAATTTTCCCTAAACATGTCTAGCAGTACACCGCGGTTGCAGAATATTTTGAGTTCGACGTCAAAGAACCACGGCCGGTCAGTTGACGTTAAACTCCAAATAGCTACGGCCAATACCTGTACCCCTGCGGCCTGACGGCCCGCACCCGGCTACAGACGGCCTCAAGACCGCATGCACACAGGGACACAGCTTCCAGCTGTCACCATTGAGATCACGGTGGCAAGCGGGCAGGCAGGCCCCCTTAACGACGGCCCAAAAATTACACCGTCCCCTGCTGTCCGACAGCAGTGAGCACGTCTGTGAGTCAGCTCTGCCATCAGCCCGCACACGTGAGGCTGGTGCTTACTGAGGTCTACATCTCTACAGCAGCACTGCCCCCACAACCGATTCAACTGGATAGACAGGGCTGTGGGTAGCTGTGGGTGAGCTGCCTTCCCCAAGGTTGTGGTGATCATGTTGCCGTATATACATGAATTAGCCCGTTTAGGATATAAACCTGCCTGTAGACCCCCGCACTGTTCATCCACTTGATACCGTTCTGTTCCACTTTTCCAATCTCGCCATCTCTTGATTTTTTATCTTTTATTTCCCCAGCAGACGCTTAACCTACTTCTTTGCCCTACCTAACTTCCAACACTCCCAGGATGACAGTGTCACGTTGACCATTGACAGCCTTTCCTCTACCCAACCCGAGATTCATCCCGCACTAACCGGTCCGACCAACTAAACTTGCTAGACCAGGACTGCCTGTCTTCATCTGTGCCGCACATCGGAAATGATTGTCAATCCGACAATAACAACGGCACTCAATTGAGCATGTCGTCCGACTCAATGTTTATGTTTAGCCATATTGTTTTCTGTGCTGATGTTACATGTAGCCCCACTGGCCAATCTTGCAGGTCGGATGGGTCCTCTGACCCAATCTCTAACAGTGGGAATGGTGTGCCATTTTAGATGATCAGGAGCAGGTGTAGTACAAGGATGGCCCCCACCGAAAAGCAACTTCCCACTCGGGCTTTGGGGAAGAGCAGCCATCCCTGGCAGGATGCCCCACACCATCAAGCAATGTGATGGCTCTCTTTTAGCTGTTTGGAGTCGCCCAGGAGGCAACTAATCTTGTCGACTGTTTTCTTTCACTTTGTATATATTGAAATTCTTTCCTTTGCTTCAGTGGGTTGACACTAAGTGCCCTCCCCAATCTCAATAGCAACCATATACTTACCTTTTTCAGTTCTTCTCAAATTGTGCCCCCCCCCCCCTGAAAGAGTGTCAAGTTTGGTGAACATGCTGTTGGCTGCACCGAATGCATGTTCATGACAATTGTCTCTGGCCTGGATATAATGTCGCATCTGACCACTAGCCTGGCAGTAGCTGAAATTCCTCGGCAGCCACCCACTTGGCACGATGGGCAGCCGGTCGGATGATGTGAATGGCACACACGTGAGCTGAGCAATAGGCGTCTGCTTATCCTCTGGATGACGGCCTTCTTGCCGAAGCACGTTGACATACCAGGATAGTACTGGTTGGGCAACGGCTGCTAACAACGTCGGTGCACGAGCATGCTTGACGGGCATGAGATGTCCTTTTGCAGACGTCTCCTGGCAGCCGTCATTCAGACTTTCTACGGAGCCCGTGTGTAGGCCGTGGGGGCTTGCAGGGAGTGTTCCGTCTTGGGACGGCAAAAAAACCCCGTCACGATGACAGCAATCTGCACCCGGGGTGTATATGCATGACTTTCACCCTCGATCAACCTTGTCTGATTTCTGCGTCTTCCACTGGAAAACAGTTCGCTGATGCAGAAAATAGAGGGCGATAAGTTAAAAGAAGTGCCCATTGACGACATGAAAACCGCCCTTCCAATCATCTACCAATTGGACTATAGAGGTAATGTCCTGGACGTCCCGTTCATGATTGAGCACGTTTGATTTACGCTGATTTCTCCTATCACGTATCCAGGAAAAGTCCTCCAACGTACAATGTACTACTAGGGTCTCCAGAAACCGGAATTTCAATATATTCTGTGTTTCGTTGAGGCTGTCGTATGAATCATAGCTTAAGATAACAAATGAGTAACTAGAAATCAAATCTAAGCTGTTGATGGCGTTTTGGCGAGATTTCTGGATGTTGCTTTCTGGTAAAGCGAGTCAACGGTACAAGCTAGCAAAGTTATTGGCTATTGGAGCCCGTGAGTAACAAGAGTCACTTACTGCTATAAAGTCCAAGGCGCCCGGAGTAGGATCTATGGACGGGTCCCTTCTGGATCATAGTTTTATGCGTCTGGGGAGTCCAGCTCTGCAGCACTCAGTCTAAGCGACTCTTTGGACTGAGTTGTCTCTGGACTCTTGGTATCTCGAACCAGTATGAGGTCGAATGGTCCTGGCTGACTGACAACACTTTTTTGCCCGATCAAACGGTCTCGGAAGACAAGCGGCACTGCTTATCTCTACCGGCCAAGACCAAGTCGTAGTTGACAGACGCTACTATTTGATACTGGTCTGCTTTTGAGAAAACCCCCTAGAGATTCGATCAAAATGATGGCTGATGGTTGCCAGCTAGGCCAGCTTGAGAAGTTTGCACAGGAAAAGAAAGTCAATGTGCCCATGCATCACTCATATTGAAAACATAATGTTCATGTACTGTCATTTTCCTGTCATCCCATTAAACAGAAACAATCCAACTAACGGGAAATTGAGGAAAGGAAACAGCGAGGGATCTTTGAAACTTTTTTAGGATACTACCTAAACGTCTCGTCCTCAAGTTTCCCGAAGAGCTTTTTTCTTTGTTGATTTTTCCATTCATGAAAAAAATCGTAATTAGACAAAGGCCGCTTGAATAGTTTTGTGGATGCATTAATGAAGAGGATGAAGTGATCAGTCAAAAGTAATGACGTACGTTGAGTCTTGGATTGATTCCAGTTGATAAGGAGTGCTATTGATGCTTGATAGGTAGAGCCCTATTCTCATACAAACGGATACAAAGACCAAAAACAAAGTATTTGATAATGAGTTGTATTTGATAATTAATTGTAAAGCAAACCAGATCCAAAAGTGCACAGAAAGTTATCTTACAATACCGGGTCCATTCTTTGCTTTTAATCAGCTGTAGGCCTTCGGATGAAGCCGCCAATCGACAGGCCAAAACCAAAGCATCGTGAAAGATCTCCTTCCCAAATGTCTGATTGCCTGTTGAGTTGACTGTCTCTGGTAACGGAAACTATGTAGATTTTGGCCAAGGATTTTTGGTTAGCGTGTATGACAAGAGACCCTGTCAAACAAACTGCTATTTTGAATCGTTTTTAAGAGAAGATAGGAACGAAAGTCGAACGGGTGATGTTGTTTACCTTTGACTGAAGTGTAGAGGTGCAGAGGTAGAACGAGGTCTTGATGCGTGACAACGTTGGACCTCGGTAAGGCGCCAGCTTTTCTACGAACTCAGTTAAAATCATTCTTGGTAGTGGCGTGGTTCCAATCGCGATCCGAGCATCACGGTTGCGGTCTAACATACGAGCACATCAAGATTAGGCCCAATCGGGCTTCCAGGTGGTGCTTTTCCTTCCAAATTTCAGCTCACCTAGAATCAGTTGGTTAGCTCTGAGTCGGGCGTTAATAATCAACATCAGTACCACTCTCCCCAAAGCTTATATCAATGTGAACCGTCACTTTACCTGGCAATTTTCAGATATTCAGCTGCGTTGAACGGTTTCCCCAGCGATGGCTCAACACCTGAAAACCTGTGTGGAAATTAATATGCCTGGGATATGTAGCTCAATTGGCTACTAAGACAAACGCCTTACTTCATCAATGGCATCAATGCGGTGATGCCATCTTGTATCTGAGCCTCTCGCTTCATCAGATCTTTCGCAACCCTCTGGATCGCTTCTGGTGATGGCCGGTGGTTAGGATCGATTGGGATGGCTAAAGAGATTTTATAATTGGGGTGAGGATTTGTGGGCGTTTCCGGAAATTGATGATCCCTGAGACTGAGCGACTTGACTCAACTTGATGATACATATGCTTGTAAAATGACCATATATGCTGTGTTGGCCTTCATCACCTTTGCCATTGCCTTTCTCAATGTTCGCCGGGCTGGATTCCTCAGCACAAACAACTGCAAAAAGGTAACGATCGCAACCGCAACCGCTAGCGAAGTTAGATTTTTTCCCATTCGGTGAGCGGGTGTGTCAAATGTTGTGTTTTGGCTTAGATACATCGAATAGATCATCGTTCCTGCTGAATTCATCGCCAACGCCGACAGTACGAACAGCTTTGGCTTCGTATATAGAATGTAATTCATGAGGACTGAAAATAAAACCATGGCCGAAATTATGCCATACGGATTGTACTTATAACCACCTGTGTTTTTGAAGATTTCTAAAACACTGTATAGTCGAGCATGGGGTAGGATATCGGGAAGGCTCAGTTGGCTGTTTGCAAAACAAAATATGATAGTGAGATATCCTGCTTACATCATACTATACAGCAACCCTATACCTGCTCCACTGATCTGCAGAGTGAAACTTAACCAACTCTGTCCTAGAGTAGGCGTGATAGCAAAGATGAGAGGTAGGATAGCAGTGTTGAGATTATACGTTTCCGCAAACTCGCGGGTTGACTCGGCCCAATACAGCATTGCAAGGGTGGAGACAGCACAAGCGACCTTAGCAGCGCAAATGCTATCTGGGCTTCGCAAGAATTTTTCAATTTGAAGAGTTCGTTCTAGAAGAGATTTTTTCTTGGGCACATATTGTTTACCCTTGAGAGTTTCTAGCGCTTCTTGCATAGTCATTGCTTCATTGGCACGATCATGACAGGGAAGCTGATTTTCCACTTCTGGCTTTCGTTGTTTCTGCAACCGAAATCGAGCTTTAATGCCTGTCAGCAAATTGAGGTGAAACTTTTTTCGACGTGGGTATCCACCACTCTGCATACCCAGGACTAGCTCCCTCAATTCAATGAGTTCCTCTAGGAACATGCCCATAATACACGAATGTGAAAATGTTCTAAGTAGAGAGCGGTGTAGCTCGTCTTTGCTGAACTGTTTCTGGTGGTAATCCAGAATCTTTTGTGGTATCGTTGGTGATGCCCATAAGTCTTGTGATTCGGCTGGCGGGGTTTCATCGCCTATCGGAATAATGGGCTGGAGAGCAGATAAACAATGTTGTGCGATGGGGTTCGAGGCCGTGAGTTGTTCTCCCAGACGTTCGTATGGTGAGCCGGATGAAACCTGCTGTTGAGCGGGAGGGGCGAATAAATCTATGAGCAGGGGCTCATCCGGGTGATAGACCTTTCCGGATTTGAACATCTGACCGACGAGCTCGTGCTGTAGCATTTGCAAGTCAGTCCAGAGTCGTCGAATCGAGGAATTGACTTGGTTAGATCGGGTCAAGCCGGATGGACTCGCGGACACCGTTAGGTCTTGGCTTGATGGTGAATAACGGTTTGGCAAACCAGCTTCCGTACATGTGGTGGATTCAATGACATCGGCAATATCACCTTGTGCAGCCCCGGATATCTCGAGCGCTATGTTGTTTTGAACGTCCCTGAGTTGAGAGGTGGCTTCCTGCGTATCCACATTGCCGCCGGAGCCGTTGCGTCCAATAGAATTCACAGAGCGAGGTCGTAGTCCTGGTCGTGTGCTTTTCTTCGCAAGGCATCCTGTGTTAATCTCCTTCAGCAATTCCATCTCCTGACGCATGAATGGGGCCGATTCTGAACCTAGGGCTAGCTCTCGCTGTACTTCCGTAAGACCCACATAGAAGTACTTGCGGAGCAATTCTGAATTCATGGCTCCTGTTGCGATAACTTGATCAATAAAAATTCTTGCATCTGGTTGTTCCATATGATTCAAGTTCGAGTGCGTGGAGATTAACGATTGCTGCATAGATTGTGTGAGCTGAACCATTTTCTTGTATTCATTCCCTGACCATTTCGAATAAGTAAGTCCCAAGAAGGTTCGGTTGAGTTTGGCCTGTAAGATATGACAATCCGCTCGGATTGATTGGACCAAGTCATCTCGCACTTTGGATTCTTCCTCTGTGATTTCGCACCAATACGTCTTTTTGATCAGAAAGGCCATAGTCCGGATATTGTCGATACAGTGAACCAGGGTTGTGCGAAGTTCCTGTTGAAAGGATGATATGTAGGATAAGTAAGATTTTGATAGCACTATATCCACAACATGCAAAGTAGTCAATTGGAAGATGATAGAACAGAAAAACCTCACTGCTTCACTCGAATGAGGGAGTATGAAAATGTTGACAAAGGCGACTATGGCAGCACCCCAAGCATACGTCTGCAGAAAACTGGCTAGTAATGCAGGAGAGTATTGTCGATTAGGACTGGAGGATGAGCTATAAACTCCATTCCAGCTCATGCAAATACAGTACAAGGAGAAGACGAGGTTGCTAGGATTTCTCGTTTTAATCAGTGCAGGAACTGGAAGCACAAGTTGAACGATACCGGATTCCGCAACCCCGTAGAAAAACAAAACAAAACTAAGAAGTCTGAAAAATGACGGGAGGTTTGACTGATAGAGAAACTGATGAACTCACTGTACACCATGATAAAAAATACAGCTGCTTGAGCGACTGGATGGGGCGCAAGTTTGCCTAGGATAAGGAAATTGAGACCTCCGATTGCGGCTCCGAGCATACCACGGAAGAGCGAGTGCAAGCATGCGTCGACTGACCAACCGGGAAAGCCTGCAAAAAGAAATGTGATGATTCAAATAAGATTGACAGGAGCAAATTAAGACTAGAGTCCTTTGCCCCAAAACATGAACCCTGTTGGGTCGAAAGGATTCATGTTGAAAGTAATGTAGTGGCTGATCCATATGTTTCTGAACCCCACCAAGGCAAGCAAAGAATAAAGTAATGCGCACCTAGAATAGTGATCAAGACGGCGCTGCTACCGGCTGATGGGATTGAAAAAAGGTTCTGAAATGGCTTGAGGAAAAACAATATGAAAAAGAGTACGTAGGCCAATGATCCTGCAAAAGTATCAAGTGTGGAGGCAAAATAAATAAAATAATAACACAGTTCAATGAGTTGGTCAGAAGCCGACACGGCAGCGTTCAATTTCAAGCAGACCCGACGCGTTCAAAACATAGATCCTTGGCGACCCGGCCATTTGACGTGGCACTTCTCCACAAGGATTGAAGAAAGATTACGGATATCACATATGCTTGCAGTAAAAACGGTCAGGTATTTACCTGCGAGATGGGAAGAACTAGTGACCTAAAACAGCTGGGGTTAACGAACCTTTGAGTACGGGAACAGTATTTCTAGATTTTTTAATACGCCATATCGTGGTAGAGAGCCATTCGGCCATTCCGAGTAGGATCATCCTTATAGATTCTAGCCGCCAGCTCTCGGAAACAGTCTATCGGTGGAGCAGTGAGATATGTAGGTAGTGAGAAAAATGAGTATAGACGGCGGCCCGCCACCGCGCTCCGTCGAGCTCTCTTAATTACAGGCTCTTATATTAAAATTAACCGGGGTCGTGGACAAGGCGAAGAGTTTTACGAATCCTTTCTGGATCTCAAGTCCGGACTCCGCCTCTCTGGCCAGGGTAATTGAATCTCCCTCGGCCGGACCAAAAAATTATCTAGATTTATGACTTGTGACACCAGATTATGTATTTATATAGCGGACTTGACGCCGATGGCAGACCTCAGCAAGCAGAAACCATTAGAAAAGATCTTCCCAGAAAACAGCTTTTGATATCTTGACAAGTCATGGACGGTACTGCATACATAGAGCCAGGGATAAGCCCCACCTACTGCTTGATGGAAGCTATAAAATTCTCAAGGTTTGCTTTCATCTTTCAAAAAGTCCTTGACCTACGTCAAGCTTCTGATTCATAATTTATCCCTCAAGGCTTTGCGTGTTACTGGCCAGAAAGAAAATCAAGTTGACTGTGGTTACTGGGTTTGTTCAATTTGCAAACTCCCAAGGAGAGATAAGCTTGCTAAGATTTGATTTTTGGTTGCACAGGTGGACGGTCATATATTTGCCTTTTTCATAATCCTTTCCCTCATGCATATATATCCTTCAGAGCAAGATGATTTACTAAAACCTCACAAACAGTAATGGTAACATACTCTCTCTTGCATCTCTTATTTATCTTATATTGACCTTGTAATTGAGCCTTATTGAAGCACACAGCTTTTTCAATGTATCTCTCTTTATTAATTGTGAAACTTCAAGGCCATTGGATTAAAGTCTATGTTAGTGTAGCACATTCAATTTTTCTGGTTGTGGCCTTTTCAATTTTCTTATGTAGTTTTTGTAAATGAACATATGAGTCATGACATTTGGGGTTAATTTAAACATAAACTGTGTCATAATAATGTTCAACATACTCATTTTGTAATCAATTGAAGACTGAATTAAATGCAAGGTACAATGCAATGCAATTGTTTGGTGGGTATTTAAATTTGGTTAAATCTCCAAAATATTGTGATCAACAGTTGGTAAATTCCATAGATGGAAGCTGTTGAATAAAGGACTTGATTTCCCACAGAGTGTTCTGTGTATAATGAGAAGGGGATAAATAAATATCAAAACAATCAATGAGTTGGTTGGATTCAACCATTTCATTTCAGATAGATAGAATCTGCTAGTCTACATAAGTCAAAGGATGGTAATTGGGCCAGGTGTTCAATGGGCTTCCCAAACCTGCTTGGGTTTGGGCTGGGTGCGGGCCACACTTTTGAGAGATTTTCTAATCTAAGCCCAACCCAAGTAGGCCCAATTTAAATTGCTTCCAGGTTGGGTCTTGGTGGGCTGCCTGAAAGGCCAGTGCTGGAGTGTTCCTTGGGGATAAAGTAAGTCTGATTCAGATTTATCCACTGGTAGCCTAGCTTATATCATCTAACCAATAACAGTTACACCAATTTGGATTTGTTTTTTTGCACCTAGCTTTTAATTTTTCAGGGACTTGTGAAGAGCCCACTGGCTCCCCTCCAACAACCCTTGGGCCACCTGTAGGCCTTGTTATAATGGTGCACACAGGCAGCCTGTGGCCTGAACAGGTTTGGGTTGGGCATCATATTCTCATATCTTAATGTGGCCCAGCCCACCCATGTTTGCGCCTGCCCAATTACCATCCTTACATAAAACACATTTACAATGATAGTGGGTTGAAAGTTGACCTGATTGTTCATGCTGCTATTAGCCTGGTTCACTTAGATGCTTGTTCACAAATAAAATTTCTATGACAGGCAACATTTAACAGCAGCTTGCTAAAACTTTGGTTGAGTCCCTTGCACAATAGCGGGGTTCACAATAGCTTCTTGCGCAAAGCCAGCGGTGGGCCGCTACGCCTTTGGCCCAAAAAGTGTAGTGTAGTGGTGCTTTTTTTCCATCAAAAAAGTGTAGTTTTAGTGTTTTTTAGCGGTTTTTTGCTACGCTATGCTGCGCTACAGCGCTTTTAGTGGAAAAAGCGGCCAAAAACCACTAAAAAGCGCTGTAGCGCAGCGTAGTGGGCCCTTTTTTGAGGCCCGCACACGTAGCGTTAGCGGTGTCATGGCGGAATTCCGCTATGCTACGCTTAGCGCTAACAGCAATTCCGCTGCGTTACGCTACACTAACCGCTACGGTTAGTGTAGAGGCTCACCGTTGGCAAAGCCCTCTTAGTTCTTGTGAGAAGCCGCAGCCCTGTTAATGAACAATCTTAAGAATATATTTCTTTGAGTACCATGATACAAAAAGAAATGTATGGAACAAATAGAGATGACTCCTAACCTTAAGGCAGACAACAAGAGTGTGATGAAGAAGGAAACAAAGATAACAGCACAAGACAAAGGAGAACTGAGTGTCTTGATTAGTCGAGACAAGGAAAGAGGATGGTTTAGCCTGAGAACCTACAATAATGTTATCAACCTAATGTTCTTAGATGAGTTTGGTGAGTTGTTGAAAATGAAGCAAAGTACAGGTCAAAGATTGGCAAAGAGTCAATATGGAAGGGAGTGTACTGAGAGAAGTAAAAGGGACAAGGAGTCAAGTTGGAAGGAATAGACACAAGATCAAGGAGTTCTTGATATGAAGGAAGTAAGATGACAACAAGTAGTGTCAGATGGAGGAACAAATATGATGTTTTATGAGTTTGACTATATAAGTTTCCACAACTGAGAAAGTTCCCCAGCTAAAAGAGAGAGAAAGAAAGGAAGCAAGCTGTTTATAAGCTTGAGGATACAAGTGAGAGTGAGGATTCTGTTCAGGTTTTTTGACGGGGTTTGAGCCAGGTGACATCATGTGATGATGTCATACAGTCGGGCATGTTATCAAAGGGTTATGAGGTTGGAGGGGTCGTGAGTTGAGCGCGATAGCGTTCAGACTTCAACAAGCCCTTCTGTGGACCTAAAATTTAGAGTAAAAGTTTAAATTTTTGCTGGGAAATTTGACATTAGCAATGTGCAAACAAGAAAAAACATAACAGGCTAATATAAGCAAAACAGTTTAAGCAACACACAGTGCAGATTGTAACACTTGTCATAAAAACACACTACATGAACCAGGCTATTTTTTGAGATAGATTTCAATTTCACCCACAGCACAAAGTCTTTCTTGAGTCAACAATGTAACTGATGCAATACACGCATAGGCATCACATCACATTGGGCCTTTATCACATTGCATTTAGAGAGTGTTGTGGGGCCCCGCATCACATCACTTGCATCAGATTCTTTGATACAGAGCATTGGTATTGCATTGGCAAAGTGATGTGATGTGATGCACTATAATTTGGTGGCATCAGTTTGCATTGCTTTCCAATACAATGCTGATGCCATGCATTGCTTTTTTCATGCAACACATTGCTTTTTTGATGCAATGCCAATACATGGCCTTTTCTCACATCACATTGCATTGTTTCATTGTTGTTTGAGTCTATCTAATCAGTTGAAGCTGGGAATAAAAATCAAATAAAAAGCACAAACACAATAAGATATACAGGCTAACTTAACTAAGTGCCCCCTGGTGTAAAGCACTGGCTGGTGGCAAAGCCACCCCTCCCAAAGGGAGGGACTTATGAACTTTGCGGGGGTGCTTGCCTGAGGGAATCTTTGGAAAGCAGGTTCAGTTTCCAGAGAATCTAGCTAAAAGGACAAGCGAGCTACATGTATGGTTATGCAGAGATAAAGATGCAATTGCATCCTGGCTTGCCTTCTGTCATCTCTGCTTTTGAAGATATACCTTCAATCAAAAGAGCAAAGCTGAAAAACAAGAAATGAAAACTTACCAAACTTGAGCCCGGGGGCCCAAGCAGAGCCTGAGATGGGTTTGGTCTTGACTCTTCTTGATAGGCTTCAAAAATTTGCTAAAAACCCCTTTTGGGTATCTAGCTGAGGTTGTGGGCTCTAAAAATCACAACAGCATTGCTCTTTCTAAGTTTTGGTTTCTGGGATTGACAGCATCAAAACTACAGGCTGGAAAATTCAAAGAGCAAATTTCCAGCCTGTTTTGGTGAGTGGACTCAGGTGAGCACCCCCACAAATTTCATAAGTCCCTCCCTGCGGGACAGCCAGTGCTTTACACCAGCAAACCTCCCAGACATTCACTAATCAGTCCCCACTGGATTATTCTAGCGGAGTGCAGAACACTTGCAGTATTTCAGTGTGGCCATCATTAATCTGAAGGTGATCACCTTCAGATTAATGATGGCCACTGGTGGCAGTTGACATGCAGGAGCTCACACCATACTCTACACTGAACTCAAGTCAAACTCAGACTTTTATTCTACGTCATTGTTCTGGTTCACCCCTTTGAAGCCACAGGTTAGTACCACTCAATTATGTCAACACAATGAACTTAGTTTCCATTGAGGCTTGATTGGAGCATGCTGCATGTCAACTGGCAGCAGTTTTTTTTTGTAGTGTGATGTGATGCTTTTGAAAAAATAGTGGTACACAGACCCGTTATGACCTTCGGGTTTTGTGCCCGGCCTCGAGTACCCGCAAAGATCAGGGACCCCCGTGTCCGCTCGGAGCATGTTTCTGACTTCCCGAGACGCGTCTTGCTCGGTCAACTCCACCAATTGCGAGAACCGTAACGCGACGAAAGCCAGGCATCTGAAATCGAAAGTCGTTGGAAAATCGTACTCCTGGTAGCGTTTAATTGAACTGTGGATTATGGGTAAGAGTTTGAACAAGATTTTGTGTTGGCTGAGCTACAGCCACAACTGTTCAAGATCGATTGACAATTTTTGTATTTCCGACCAGGTATCAAGGGGTTGACTGCTCTGATTAATGATGTTGCGCCCCAGGCTATCACTCAATCAGAGATCAAAACTCTCGTGAGTCCAGACCATTTGCGGCGATTGACGTGTTTCCTATCAGGCTTCAGATGAACCAACAATTTGTGTTTCGTCAACTCATTTTAGTTCGGAAGAAAGGTGGCCATCGATGCCAGCATGTCGATCTATCAAGTCAGATTGATCTGTTTTTCTATTTCATGAAAGAGCCGCAATGGGCTTCAGTAGACTCAAATTTTTCCCCTCTTTTATTTCAGTTTCTTATAGCCGTTCGACAGCAGGATGGACAACAATTGATGAACGAGGCAGGCGAAACTACATCGTTCGTGGCGATTTCCGCAATTTTCTACTCTAAAATAATCTGACCCCCCGCTTTCTTTTTTCTCTTGATCGGTACTATCAACAGACATTTGATGGGTCTTTTTTACCGAACAATACGCATGGTCGACAACGGCATCAAGCCAGCATATGTATTTGATGGAAAACCACCCGCGATGAAGGCGGGCGTTCTAAGCAAGCGATTTGAGCGGCGTCAGGAAGCTAAGGAGGAGGGAGAAGAGGCCAAGGAGACGGGGACGACGGAGGATATAGACAAACTCTCTCGGCGGACAGTTAAGGTCACTCGTGAACACAACGAGGAATGTCGGAGACTATTGACGTTGATGGGGATTCCATGGGTAGTTGCCCCCAGTGAGGCAGAAGCTCAGTGTGCTGAGCTCTGTCGGGGTGGCTTGGTCGGTTCCTCAATCCTCACGAAACAACTCCTTGTTTGCATCGAAGATATCAACTAAACGTTTCTGACTGGCTGTTTTTTAGGTTTATGGCGCTGGTTCGGAGGACATGGACACATTAACATTCGGAACCCCTATTCTTCTGAGGCATCTCACGTTTTCTGAAGCCCGTAAGATGCCGATTCTCACAGTGAATCTGGAGAAAGTCTTATCCGGATTGGAACTGACAATGGAACAGGTGCTTCAATTGATCCTGCAATGGCATCACAACGTATTTTTTCCTGCTTTGCTAATTGGGTTAACGTGGTGATAGTTTATCGAATTTTGCGTCCTATGTGGCTGTGATTACGTAGATCCTTTAAAAGGGGTTGCGGCCAAAACGGCTCACAAATTGATGATGGAGCATGGTTCGTTGGAAAAAGTGGTTGAACATCTGCGGGAGTCGAGTAAGAATCCACCACCCGAAGATTGGCCATGGGAAGAAGCTCGAGCACTGTTTCAAAAACCAGAAGTCACACCCTCATCCGAGCTAAAACTGGAGTGGAAGAAGCCCGATGTTGAAGGACTGGTTGACTTTTTGGTGAAAGAGAAGGGGTTCGAGTTGAGTGATCTTACCTGTAGAGTACGCTTGCAATATCTGCGATGACTGACCTCAATCCTCCCGTCATTAGTGAGGAACGCGTTAAAAAAGGAGCAGCCAAACTAACTCAAGCGATGACCCAGAAACAGCAAGGCCGACTCGACGGATTTTTCAAACCAATAGCTGCCCAGACAGATCAGTCTTCTTCGAATAAGAAACGCAAGGTGAGTGATTTGCCGCTGACTTACCACAAAATCTTTCATCTGTGCTGAATATACACTGTAACTTGGCACCAATTTTTGTGTGTGTTTTGTTTAGGGTGATGATGACAAGAAAGCTACAAAAGGTAAAAAAGCAAAATCTAATTCGACGTCGACTAAGAAGAAGTCATAAATAAGCGGATGAATTTTGAAACTTACCCCATCAATCATAAGCCTCCCAAGGATAGCAATAAACTCAAGAATTTCAACATAATCACATCGCCCACAACTCCAATACATCTTTCTTTTCTAGTTTTTTTTTGTTGTGACCATAGTTCTCTTTTACTGCCAATGAATGATCGAAAGAATTACAATCGTCAAAATGACCACCGCAAAGATCGGTGATGCAAAGCCGCAGATTTTGAATTATCGAAAGTCTTCGATCTAAAGTAAAGAAACCAAAAGATCTTGAAAGTGTTTACACTCCTGACTAGGAATAGTTGACTCGCTTTCGATCCCAACTCCTTGGCGGGGATGCAGCTATTGGTAAAAGGATCATATCTCAATTTTTGGGAGAACATTTTATCATCATTGATAAAGGAATTGCTGACATCAATATCAACAAAGAAAAAAAAATGTTCATATGATAATTGATGGATTTGAATCTAACGTATAACAGTTAAGACATAAAGTTGTAGAAGCTAAGATCACGCGGTTAATCAGCTGGATACATTGGTCAAACCGGTTTTCCATAATATTCATTGATGAAGAATCTCTTTGATCTTTTATTGGACTTAGTGTGTCAGATTTTCCTCACATTTCAAAAAAAAAATGTTAGGTTCAATCCCAATGTTGAACATGTGTCAGGGTCACATGATGTTCATAGTTTGACCCAAGGACATAATACATAACCCCACTGGCGATTTTTTCTTCTTGTTTTTTTGCTTGGGGTATAAATGCCCTTGAAGGGACGCTCAGCCAAAATCGTGAACTGATACAAGTACAGCCCCTGCCCCTTTATCTAAGCAGCTTCATGCAGTCATGTAGTTGAAGGGTATAAGACACTTCTTGTGGACAGTTTTTGATGAAAAACAGGAATTATAATTGACACTAGAACCAGAACTTAAAGATGTAAAAAACAAAGGTTAGAGAAACATTTAAAAAAGAATCTTGAAAACATAAAGAAAAAACAATAATAAATAAGAAAATTTACCACGGTGATAGTTTATTTTTGAGTTAGACAGAGAAAAAAGACTGAAGTAGACAATGTCAAAGAATGACAGGTAATAGACACTGAGAAACAAGGATTTGAGAAGAAAAGTTAATCAAAAGCCCTTTTTTGAGAGAATGAAATGTTGAGTGATTTTTTCTCACCAAATTGGCAAAAGCCAGGAGAGAAAGTCAAGGGAGAGAATTGGTGGAACAAGGACGAGAGAGTGTTGAGTTGAGGATGGGAGAATGTATCGTCGTCGTTGATGCGAGTGAACAATGAGCGAGATGAGAGAGAGAAAGAAGAGAGCGAGAGAAGAGAAGAAGCGGAGTCGGAGAGGAATATTTAAGGGAATGGTGGATGGAATGGAGAACAGTCGAACAGTGTAGGAGTGGTAGAGATTGGGTGATGGAGGTTAGTCGATCGAGGGAGTGAGTAGTTGATCGTTGACGATGGCGGAGACTATTGAGCAAACCTCATTTGAGAACATTGTGTCGGTTTTTATAGATGAATCGACGAGAGAGAGAGAGGTTCGGCTTGTGGTTGACGAGTGACCTGTATTTGATACGCCGAGAGATTTGTGGTTGGGTTCGAGGAGTGTTAGGTCTTGATTGGAAGAGAGAGGAAGATGATTATGAGACGAGGAAGGGTTTGATAGTGAAATAGGATACATGACGAGAGCGGAGCACGGAAAGGGAGCGGGAGCGGAGAGAGAGAGCGGAGCGGGAGGAAACAAGAAAAAGAAAAGGAAACAAGAGAAAAGAAAAGGGAATTATGAGCGGGAGAGCTGGATAATTCCAACAGTTTTTCCATAACATGAATTCATCACCTTTTTACACAGATTTTCTTGAAAAGATAGAGACAGAAATCTGGAGAGTCATCAGATCAATCTTTTGGCTGCACGTTGATCATGTGGGTTTCAAATGATTTTTTGATGTAGAAAGCTAGTTATATATTGGTTAAAAAAATCTATTTTTGAACACCCTCTCGATAGGGGGGATCACGATTGAACTCAAGAGCCATTTTTAAGGTGTTTATGAGCAACAATTTTTTTTTAGTTTTTCCTATTTGGTGGTTGCTGAACTGTCTGTACAGTGGCTAGACAGTGAAAAATGGCTGATTAATTTGGATCCCACAGCTTCCAAACACAAACTTGAAGTCATCAGACGTAGTCAGGTGGTGCATATAATAGGTTCCCAAAAATGAATAAAAATAAATAAAAACAAAAAACAAAGTATCAAAATTTGTGAAAAATAAAAAATAAAATTTATTTTTTCCAAAAGCTTTGATATTTGTTATGGGTGTTCTGAGGAGAGCAGGTGATGGATCTTCAGAGTTCTGAGTCTTGATGGTAGATTGCAAGATGAGGAATGTACAAGGTTCGGATCTCGAACGAACTCCAAGTTCAAAGTTCGTGACATGTACGTAACAGGCTCTCTACATATGTAACGTCCCCAGTTCCAGTCCTCCACAGCTCATAACAATATTCATTTTGGGGGAGTGAGAGTGCTGAGACCAAGAAAGATTGGGAAATGAAAAGAATGATTATAAATGAAATTTTTGGAAAAAATGGTTACCAGATGGCTTCAAACAGCAGTTGAGTGGGGCATTCACCAGCCCACATTGCAGTAAAGCACTAGAATTTACTACTTTGGCTCCAATCTGGACAACCAACCTGGCTAAACCTTTTTTGGTTCCAATTTTTTTTTTTCATTTATAATCATTCTTCCCATGTTCCATTGTTTCTTTCTCTCAGCACTCCCACTCACCCAAAATGAATATCAAAGCTTTTGAAAAAAAATCAATTTTATTTTATATTATTCACAAATTTTGAAACTTTATTTTTTGCTTTTATTATTGCATATTCTTTTTTGGGACCTATTATGCACCACCTGACCAAGTCTCATGACTTAAAGTTTGTGTTTCAGAGCTCTGGAATCCAAAATAAGCTGCCACTTTTCACTGTCTACCCACTGTACATCACAAAAAAAGAATTCTAAATTAGGCTCCGTTTGGCAGTCCATTATCTACATATAACTAAAAAAATGGCCTCAGAGGGCCAAACAAACTGTCTGCCTTTGTATTGATTTCTCATGCGGCTTCTAACGCCGGCGTCGATGTTGCACATGTCAATGTCTTTTAAGACTTTACAATCATAGCGACCTTCAAAAGCGAAGGCTATTACACCATAGGACCTTCAAACAAGTAAAACCCCCAACATCCGGGGCAAAAACAAGCAGCCCCCAAATTTGGGGGCATATACTAGTATCATATATAAAAATATGTAAATCCGGATAATCAGAATATGGTAGATAAACCTTAAACCAATTATCACAAAGCTAGACAATCCGCTGCTTGTTAGAGTGGATTTTTGGTGTTACAGTGATGGACACCATATTGCTGTAACAGATTTTACAGTGTCCCAAATGTTGGGTTGGAAAATTTTGGAAACATCCCCTTGGGAGTAGGGGGAAAGGAGGGTGAGGGGTGATATTTTTGAGAAAATTGACCGGTCAAGTTGGTCAAAGTTTGTGTTTCTGAACTTTTGCACTCAAAATTTCAACAAATCAAACCCAAAAGTTCAAATGATGGTCAAAAGTAAGGCTTGAAGAGCCCAGAGGAAGCACAACTGTTGAAAAAATAGGCTAATAGCCAAATAAAATAATTTTTATGTTCCAGCTGAGAGGGCTCAAGTGCTCACAGATAGACTGAGGGAAGGGCTAAAGTGCTTCCTTCAGGAACGGTCAAAAATAATAAAGAACCGATGAGTGTAATTTCTTCGCATCTAGATGATTTAAGTAGTCTAGATACAATATGGTCAAGATGTGGGAGCAGCATTTTGAATAAAGAAAGAACAGCAATAATGAATAAGAGAATATGTAAAAAGAAAAGAGAGTGATCGAGTGAATTTTCAACACCCCTCCTGAACTTGAGATCGATTGATTATCAAAGGTGAAGGTTGGGATATTTTTGTTGTAGGTATTCTTCATCTTCCTGGGTGTATCGAGTCATATGGGATGAGTGTTGTTTGTACGAGGAAGTGACCGATTTTGGAGCTCGTTTGTTGGGATGTTTTTGGAAACAGTTGTCTTTGGTGTGGCCACTCTTGAAAAAGTGGGAACATGCTCGGAATCCTTGCTTGCAATGAGGACAGATGATCTCGGGATTGGATGACTGGGTGAACATAGTTGCTTCAGTTGGGATCAATGATTTCTTGTCCTCATTTAACTGATTTTGAGCAGCGAAATCCTCGAGTTTCTTGAGTGATTTGTCAAACGGTAGTGATTCAAAATTCATTGATATGTTTGTTTTAAACGAGTGAAAGTTTTGAGGAAGTTTGTCGAGCATTAGGATAGTCTTATCTTGATCATTGAGAGCAAGTTTAGAGAGCACAATCTTCTGGTTGGCCGATCGAACAAGAGGGAGAAACGACGAGAACGAGTCGTATTCAATGCAAGTAATATAAGGAACACATCATCCTCTGCACTAATTCCTTCCATGCTTATATGCCCAAAAAATCACTCAGCCTGTGCCAAACAAACAAACAAAAAAGAAAAGGGGGCTCAAAATTTGTGCAAGACCAGCCCAATGTTGTTCATCTTCTTAGGAACTCCAACCGACTAGAGCCTAGAAAGCCACAAAACAACACAACAAGTACAGTACCAGAGGTGTCCACATGATTGGCCAACTATTCCACAAATAGAAGTAGACTCATATAACCGCATAAGTATATATACATATAATGTGTTTTCATGAATGGTTGGAGCCTCCAAGATTTTTGTCTTTGATATGTTTGTCCAAGGAGTATGGATTTCACAGCATATACACTTTGAATCCGGGCTGGTCAAAGAGGAATTGGACCAGGTCTGACCTACATGTGACCCATGTTGAATTTTCTCAGTTCTGTCTCTCTCTGCCCTTCACCCCTTTCTAGTCATCAAAAATCAGACCAGAATATATTGATCAAGTGGCTTGTGTTTTCAGTTGTTATTAAGCCCCTTCTGAGTCAAATTTGAACCCTAAGTGATCAGCTCTTCTCAACAACTCATGTCTCTACAATGATTTCTTCTCTTTCCTGATTGTTTTGTTTGATTTATTAAAACCTGATTAATTAGAATTAACAACTCTAAAAATCTGTGGATTATAACATGTTTTTCCTTGATTAACTCATCTGGCTTGACTAAAAGAGACTGAGAAGCCCTGTCCAGTTTGTTTCTTCCAAATAGACTCATGTTTCTTCCTCTCAGAGTTTTTATTCAATATCTTTTTTTTTTTTTATTCATTTTCTCCAAACCACATTTTGACACACTTGTATTTAGCCTATTTAACCCTAGCTAGATACTTGTGAATAAAAACCATTGGTTCTTTCACTCTTTTTCTGTGAACCTTTCCCAAAAAGTAAATTCACCTTCTTGGCCCTCTGCCTCCTAAGCTCTTCAGTTTAAAAATTTCAACAACCCACAGTCAAGCCCCAAAGTTGATGGAATCTTGATGGTCAAAAGATTGGATTTGCCAGACGTTAAAGATAGACCGAAAAACTCAGCCACTGTTGTGTACATAACAATGTTGATGATCTTTCCCCAGGATCCAGGAAGTTGTAGGGAATCAGTTCAAGATCAGGTGATCTGAATATCTTGCTCTTGAGCTTGAGCATGCAAATGATCAAGATTTGCAAGCTTGGTGGTCAACAACTGGGAAATCCAAAAAAAAAAACAAATATGTAGTCAAGTTTATCACTTGTAAATTGATATTTTGAGGAGCAAATGAATTTTGAAAAACATTGGAGGCTCCAACCCTTCATGAAAACACATCTATATTGCCATTTTTGATACAATACAACAACAAAGCCATAGGTTATCACACCAAGCACCACCAGTACAGCTCCATACATAGACTACCCATATAGCACTACTACTGCCTACTGTTCCTACAACTACCACTGTGACTACCACTGTTACTACTGTTAATACTAGTGCTGCTATCTGCAACAGACTATCTTTAGCCAAACCACTACTGCTGATACTATTGCTATTGGGTTTGTAAAAATAAGAGAGAGAAGTGGTTAAGAATTTTGGTTTGGTTTTTGGACTGGGACAAAGTACATATAAGTAAGTGCGAGCAGATAAATTATACAATTCTATGAATGAAATAAATCGATTGGATTAACATTATATTATAGATATTTGGATTGGATTGGATTGGTTGATTGGTGTAAGAAGAAGAAAAAATCGAGGAGGGTTGGTAGTAATATATGGTTAATGATGATAATGATGATGAATAGATAGAGAGAGGGGGAAAAGTGAAGTGAAATGACTATTTTATAGTAAGCATTATTTTATAACTTTTAAGGATAAGCAAGGATGAAGATATGTGTAGAAAGAAAAAAAAAATGAAAAAGGGCAAAAAAGTAGGTGTGTGTGTTTTTCGAAAAGAAAAGAGAAGAAAAGAAAATTGTGGGAGATGGGAGCAGATGGAGATGCAAATTGAACTAAGAAACAAACCAGTTAATTCGTGTTCTTCGGAATGAATTTCTTATGAATATATTTATCATGAACGAATTGTTTGATATTCCTGAACGATATCCCCAAAAAATCGAGACAGATGATCAGGACAAAAACCGATTGGAAAAAAAAGAAGGTGAAAGAGAGAAAGAGGAGAGTGATATATAAAGGGTGAGAAGAGGACGGAAGGAAGGAAGCAAAGAGTACGAACGAAGGAGTTAAGTGAAAGTCTTTCGGCAACGAAGCTTCCCAAAACGCTTTCGATTTCTGGTTGCCGACGACCCGAATCTGCCGGATCTGCTCATTATTCCAATCTAAGAAAAAGAGAAAAAAAAAACACTATCTTAATCAACCCCCCTCCAAAAAAAAAAACACCACCCTTCTCCCAGATCTGCAATTGACTGGTTCGCAAAAAAAGAACAAGGAAAAGGAAGAAAACGAACCATCCAAATCCAAGCTTCGAACCTTACTGATATGCGTGCCCATTCCGCGATGGATCCCACAACAATTGATGCAGATCAGGATCCCCAAAGAGTACGACGCCCAGCGCGGATTGGGTTTTCCGCATTCAGCACAGCTCGATCGGTGCGAAAGGTTATCCAGTTCGGTCCAGTTCCGTTCGTACATCGTTCCTTCTTCCTCTTCGTCTTCTTGTGGTTGTTCCTCCTCCTCTTCCTCCTCTTCCTCTTCCTCTTCTTCTTCTTCCTCCTCCTCTTCTTCGTCTTCTTCTTCGTCTCCCAGATCACCTTCCTCCTCCTCCTCATCTTCTTCTTCATCTTCTTCATCTCCTTCATCGGTAACCGACCGACGATTATCATCATCCTCTTCAATCATTCGCCGTTTGGCCCGAGCTTGATCATCCGGTCTGACGGGGACGGACGGCTGAGACGACTCCAAGTCTTCCTCGACGGTGAGCGATCGAGAGCGGGGAGAATGGTCGTCCTGATCGCTGGGCAGAGGGCTCCAGAGTCTAGCGGGCGGAGGAAGATGGTGAGGAAGATCGGAGGGGGCGGAGCGATGATGGAGGAGGGAAGAGGAGTCGCCGATAGGCTTCCATTCGACTTGTAAACCTCCTTCCTGATGAGCTACAGTATTCGCCCTTTTCTTTCGGGTGTTACTGCTTACCGCTTTGGTCTTCCCGATCACTCCCTCAGCTGGATAATCACTTTCGAGCCTTCTGACGGCTATCGAACTGATCACTGGCTTCGACTTAGGGATCGTCAAGGTGGCTATTCGCGCCTGTTCTCCTCCTGGCTTTGGTCTGGCCGTCTTAGCCGAAGTCGAACTTGATACCCAACAGAATATAAAAAGACGTAATCATATTTAGATGACTAGGTCTGCTTGTGTTGGGGAACAAGAGCAATCGACTAACCTGTTGAGAATACTTTCGATAGACCCTTCGATAGCGGCGACCCATTCATGCATTTCTAACAAGCTAAAAGCTTGATAGACTCTGACAAACTTAGTCGTGACGACCTCGAAGCTGAACTTACGTTCGGCTTTACCCTTACGAGGGCGGACCATCGCGTAGCGAAGATCGATACCAGATCGATGAGGGTCCACCAATTCGTCTCCCTTGTATTCGCGCAATTCACCACCCGCCAATACGCACCAAAGTTTCTTCCAACTTCGAACGCCATCGGAGCCGTTCGGGATTCCTCCAGTCCCTTGTGATTGTTCGGTTGGATGATGCTGCTGATTATGATGATGATGTCGTTGGACTGGACCTCCAGCTGCTAATGATTTGGTACAGGAAAGTAGGAAGCCTTCTTTCTTTCTTTGGACGTTAGCCGACCACGATCGCATCCTTTTGATCGAATGATCTTCGAACTGTTCATCGCTTTCGATCGACGGACTGATGGCCATTGCTAGAGAGTTTGGGATGGCTAAGTTCTTACGTCCTCGAGGGCTCGAGCTCGTAATCCCTTCCTCGCTTCCGAAGGCTTTCCCAGTCAATGTTAATGCGAACCCGCGCAGTTTTTCACCCAATTCGTGGGTCCGATGGCTGGATGGATTGGAGTGAAGATGATCGAAGGCAGAAGTGGTGCGGATCATGAGCTTGGCTTTGGGTGGTGTATCTGAAGTGTTCAAAAGACGTGCATGGTGATCGGCAGTAGTAGAGCTTTGGAGGAAGCTGTCGAGTTTGTTTCTCCAGGCCTGTCGATGGTTCTCCATGGCTCTCCGTTGAGTCTCGCGTTCGATGTGTCGGATGGCTAGTTCCTGTCTGAGATGGATTAGTTCGATTCCGATGGTATCTGTCTCTGATGAGGTGGGGGATCTTCTGCAGGCATGTTCTGAGAACATATATTCTGTTAGGAGCTCGAGTACTTCGACCTCCTGGAAGACCGCCTGTTCATAGATCCAATGATGATACTCTATTCGCGCAAATTCGACCTTGGCTTTCATCTGTTCCATCTTCTTCATCTCCGCTTCACCCTCAGATTTGATCGATAGAAACTGTGAAACTTGGCAGTTAATGATCACTTTCAGATCCGCAGAGGATTCAAGATGTACATACATACATACATACCTTCTGAAGCGTTTCATCGTATAGTTTGGCTTGATGGATAAACGATTTCTTCTTTTGGTTGATCTCTTTGAGGTTACTTGACATCCGACGGAGAGGGTCCAAGATCTGGAGTTCCAATCGTTCCTTGCGTTCGAGGTCGATTGCCCTATTCTGTAGTTTTGCGGATTTGTAGTAGATCTCTTTGAGTGGTCTGAAGCAAGCTGGAGTAGTTTCGTCGAGCTGTGAGATATTTTGATGGATCAGATTTGGATGATTATAATGTGTTTAGATTAATAGATACTGACGATTTCTAGTGCTTGATCGAGACGGGTATCGGATTCTAGGCTGGTGCAGAGGTTCTGATGGATGAGTTCGAATACTTTGATGAGTGGTTTGATTGATTTCTTGAGTAGTGAGGCACGATGTTCTAGTCCGGAGAGTTGAGCTCTGAGTAGTGGGCCGTCCTCTAGTTGTGCATCTGGGATGATTGGGTCTGTTGCTGATGAGCTTGGGAATGCTGATGAGCTGAGTCCGGGTAGGATGGATGATGTGAAGTGCTTGTTGATGAGAGAGTCGAATGGTTCTGGTGAGAGTCTGTTTGTTGATGGTTCTTGCTGTTGTGGTGGTGGTGGTGGTTGTTGTTGAATGTGAGTTGGTTGTGGTTTGGGTAGTAGTGAGTGTAGTCTGTGTTTGTGTTGGTTGTAGAGTGAGCTGATCTGTAGTCGTTTTGAGTGGTTGTTGTTTTGGTTGTTTGTTGAGAGTGAGGGTGTTGATAGTTTGTTGATGAGTTGTTGTTGTTGTTGTTGTTCCATCTCTGGCTGGTTGTTGTTCTTGTTGTTGTTGGTTGTTGTTGATTTTCTCTTCTTCCCTGCTATTTCACCCCCGGGATAAGAGCACCATCACTGTCACAGATACCAACAGGATGTCACAGATTGCTATGACATCATCATCATCCCCCCAAAACACTTCATCTCGTTCTCGTCCTCTCAAGCCACCACCACTTCCTCCTATCCCAGTTCTGGCATGGCTATCTTTTCGAATACTGAGTACTTTCTCTACTCCTATAAACCAACCCCTTATCATGAGCACCTCAGATCTTCATCTTCAGCTGCGACAGCATAGTTCGCATACAACTGTAACAGAAAAAAGAAACCCACACAACTTTCACCCCTCTTCATCGCAGCTGTCATACATGCATACTCGTTTGACGACTTCAAACAAAAAATTTCTTTCTCTTCCATGCCTGGGGTCCTGGCTGTGATATCCAGCGAACATTCCGCTCGATCAGTTTGCCCCCGAATATGTATGTAATCAGTCGTGAACCAGTCTGTGATTGTGCTGTGACATGTCCCTGAAGTCCACACTTCATCCCTGTTGACCGTCCATTCTGCAGTTTACTCCACCAGAAACCAACACTCCAACAGAGCCGCAATGGTATTACGTCTCCGTCTCCTTGAGGAACTCCGCCTCATCAATCCCAACAAACCATCATCCGCATTCAATCGACACATCCGATCGGCATCGTCCATCAACCTCAGTCCTAGTTCAGATTCATCCATCTCACTCCTCCCCCCATTGGTACTCTATCGGAGACTGCTGCGGATCCATAGAGACCTACCCGTGGAAATGCGATCATTAGGCGACTTGTATGTTAAGGTAAGCTACATAACCCTCCCCCCCTCCCTGTTTTTTTGAATCCTACAAATTGCATACTTCCTTTTTACAAAACAAGAGGTCGTCTGTTCTTATCCATCTTTTTTAATTGATTGGCAGGACGAATTTAGGAGATGTAGGTCGATCGATAATCCGATCCAGATCATCGGCTTCTTGAGCCAATGGAAGCTCTACCTAGACAACCTCATCCAACGAGATACTCATCAACAACAGCACGACTCGTCTAGTCCTGTAGCTAATCATCGAAAACCATCCGTCAAGATAGGCAAGAAGTTACCCAAAGATTTGTTGGAGAAGGTCAGTCCCAATCATAACCATATACATCTACAACAAGGAATTGTCTCATCATCATCATCATTTGGTCTTGAATGATTACTGATCTCGTTTGATGGTTTCTGCCGATTAATTTGTTTCTAATGCTGGGAAATCAAAACAGCTCTCGCCTGAACAAGTCGGTCAATTGTTTGAATTGCTGAAGGCCACTAAAGAGATCTGGGTGGATGTTGATGACAATAAGAATAATAATAATCAAGATCCTAAACCGTAAACCGTAAAACTGCGCTTTCAGTGTATCTTTGGACCAACCTCGGCTTTCTCAATCCAGCTACATCGTTCAAATTTCCCACTCAGAGTCAAACAACCAGGAAGAGTTTTTTTTTGTTTAGCCAGGAAGGGTTGTTTTTCCAATTCTTTTGGTTTAATCTTGTAGTAGTTGGCTCTTTCAATCCATTCGCTTTGTTTTTTCTGTATCATTCTTCGCCTAGAAGCAAGGTCATACTTGAGTACTAATACAATAGCTTACTTGTTTTTCTTTTTTTTTTCGAGACGACAACAAGTATAATTTTTCTGCGAACTACGTAATTGCAGTCTCCCAACCATTGGCAATCAAGCTCATTATTAACAAACAAATGGTCGGTGCTATGTAGTAAGGTAAAACAAACTGTATCATCTTTACAATCGGTGGAATCTGATCATTATTAACGAAGCCTTTGCCTGGGACATCCACGCGGGACGGCCCCTCGTCAGGGTCCTCACGTCACTGATATACATATCCACTGCAGACATCAACAGTCATCTCAATGCTTCTGCACTCCTACATCCTCCACATCTTATAGTATACTCAAGTCAACATTTTAATGCCAAGAATTATTGGGTTTATCTATTGGTACTCATGCAGAAAATGTTAACCCATAAAGATCACGAGGAATCTTGATTGTACCAAAAAAATGCCGCCTCGCCAAATCATTAGAGTCTGCTGCAAGCGGAGTCGTATTTCGCGTCTCGCTCTTCGGTTAATGGTCCTATGAAGGAGCCGCAAGAACGAGAACTGAATGTTCCTAGCTTGTGAAGCCAGAATCCAACTGGGACTTGTCCGGACGACAAGCCACCTTGAATCAACACTGGGAAGTTACATATCAGTTACTTTTTTTTTGGATTTTTAACTTGATACAACTTTTGAATGTGAAGCCAATGAGTTTTTTTGTCTGGTAGATATGAACAAACAGGCTCTCTTCTTAATATTGGCAAATAATTCTGGTAATAATTCTTCTACTGAAAACACAATAATTTAAACAAGACAAAAAAAAAGTTATCTAAGCCACCAGTTATTTGTAACTAAATTTGGCCACGGTATCCAGGATTAAAAAAATTTGAGTGGACAAAAATTATTATTTTTTTGACCAATCTCAAGGCCTAATCCCAGTTTATGCTATTCATCTCATAGATAAAATTATTGGGTGCCTAGTCTCAAGTTAAAAATAGAAGTAGTGAGATAACTGAAAAAGTAACTTCCCAGTGTTGCTTGAATCACCGTTATCCCCCACATCACATACAAGTACATAGATTTTCCTCTTGAGCTTACATATTATAAATGTCTAGCCACTCTCATCATCCTGCTATCCTCCTTTTAAGAGCCCCCTTGTACCTCGGAGAATTTCCACGAATATATGTACTCGTCTTCAGACTCACTCCACTCTCTATAAGTGACTCACCAGAGAATCCAAAAGATCGTCCTGATCATCAGCCACTATAGTATCATCTCTTTTTTGGCTTTTTTCGGTATCTTTTTTCGGCCTGTGAAAGGGATGCAAATAGCTTTACTATGTAGTCAACAATCAACTCCAAATATTTCAAACCACCAACAATCAGGGTCAAACCAAAGATTTTTTTTTTTTTTTTTTGATTATGTAATTTTGACTCTTCTACTTACACTGACAATATACCTGGTAGTCGTTTCAAATACAAACATCGATTTTCTTCCTCTCAAGCACAAGATATGTACGTTCATGAAGAGGACCTCAATGGAAGATAATTACCTTGAGTAGAAAGCGAGTCGGTCAGGCTGGGTAAACAGGAAGCTTCTTTCCCTGCAACCATCCTATCCGAGAGATGGGAAGAGACAGGAACCAGCCTCCGTGTGATCGTAGTACATATACCTAACCCAAACCCATCATGTAGAGAGATGGAACAAGATTCTCAGCTTCAAGATGGGGGCTGATTTGATGAGAATGAGCTCAAGGGAGGATTTGTCTGTCGTGTGGGGTACCAAGGTGGTTCATATCCGCCTGGGATGTCTTTCGAGAGAACCTGTACACTAGGCCGGTTCACGTCTGGAGTTTAAGGCCACTTTTAACGCACTTGAAGATAAAATTTCATGAATTTTGCGAAATTTCATGAAACATCAAGTTCAGAGGAATTTGAGATTTCTGACAAGTTTGTAAAATTTTAATGATAAATGTCATTAAATTTGCCTCAAAGTTCAGACGTGAACCGTCCTACTATAACAGTCGATCTGAAAGTCGGGATAAGCCAGCTGGGGCTGGCCAGGCTGGAGATCGAAGCCGGAGATTTGCTGCGTCAGCGTAGTCCGCCCATCTTCAGAAGCGCATACAACCAGACTGGAAAAACAAGCGCGCGCGGCGACTTGTCCGTCTCTTCTTCCCAGCTTTCGAACTCGATGACTTCATGATCATCATACGAAAAAAAACATATTTCCACTCGATGCCCCTGGCCAATATCCAGTGAACGCTGGCTCGCTCTTCAAACAATCACAACCGGGCCTGCCTTTTAATGACCTCCAGAATATATCAACCGGAGACTGCTTCAATCGCAAGTCTCTTCACTTGAGAGCCGATGTAGAATCTATCTACAATCAACATCATGTCTCTTACCATTGGGGAGACTTGCTCGTTATTTGTTTTATGCCAAGAATCACAGGATTCCATTTGATCTTACTTGGATCGATCTATCAGGATTGAAGTCCAATAGGAATCTCTAATTGGCTCCGGGCAGTGTTTAGGGATAACAAGATTACAATTACACAAAAACAAAAGATGATATAAAAAGTGGAATTGGGGGTCATAATTGAGGGGATAAGTTCCGATACAATTCAAGGAATGGAAAAAGCATAGCATAATTTCTTGTTGACTCTGAATAGATCAGCATGATGTGATCAGTTTACTAGAGTATTCTCATGTTTATGTGAAAATAAGGAAAGAGACTCACAATGATTGAGATTGGCACTCTCTTCATTCAAGCCAGCCTCATCCTGTTCGTTGGCCTGGCATTTTGGTCCGCATCATCCGCGGCATCCCTCCCACGTCTTCCAAGAAATCCCTGGGCTCCTCCTCTGGGTCTGGGTGGCGTTCCGACTCCGCTGGGTGGGGTTCGGTTTTTCCGTCGTCCATCGCGCTTCCCGCGTCGGCGAAGCGCAGCTACTTTCGGGTGTGGGAGAGGTTTAGTAGGGCCTGGAAGGATCGGATGGTCAGGCATCAGATCAGTCGCTCGTTCTCCTTTTTGAGACCTAGCAAAAAGCGAAATAAACTTACCTCGGAATGTAGCCATTCCATTTCGACCAGCCCGGTTTCGATAGAGCCCTTCAGTCAATGATATCGCATGAGTATCGCGCTCTGATGATTCGTCAAATTCAAAACCAACACACCTTGGTTTTCAAATGCAACTGAGTGATATCCAGACATCACGTTAGCATTCTCTTCCGGGAAGTGTTGAGGCTATTGCCAACTCACATTGACGGTCGTGTGCTAATAGGGCATTCAATTCGAGGCTGTATGCGGCCTCGGAGTTGGGAGTAACCTCGGTAAAGTTTTGAAGCGAGGCAAGAACTGGAATTTTTATTGGTACACCACCGGAGCACCTCGACGCCAAACCGTCGAGGGTTCTGACGGGCAAACCGACCTCCCCCAACCCGGCCAAACCTTCCTGTCTGCCGACGTCAGTTAGGCAGCTTTGCGGCCAGGGAGTCGGGGTGGTCAGGGAACCGACCCATGTCTGCCGGGCGGGCAGTGCGTCGGCATTGGTCAACCCGCCTGCATATTGACAAGTGTCTCAGGGGGCTGAGACGCCCTGAGATTATGGATTCATGGTCTTGCAGGCGGGCCGACCGGTGGTTGCGGTCCGGCCGCCGGCTTTATATTGGGCAGACGTTGGTCATACCGCCGACGATGACACCTGCCTTTGATGCTCGTGCGATTATGGCTTCTGGTGTCCTGCAGGTGGATCGCGGTCAAGATGCCGTCGGGTTCTCAGATCGACCCTTCGGCTGGGACAATGCTGTCTAGCCGGACGACTGCGGCTGTGGGTCGGTCCGGTGCATCAAATCATGGGCGGTATCAACCGCGGTCCGGATAATATCTGGTAGCCACTGCAACTGGTGGGCCTTTTTTGTTTTTGCTTGGCATTTTCAGTTTTCAGACAGATTGATTCTTGTATTTTTGGTCATTTATGGCTCACATCGACAACAGGCAAATCGGACTAAGCAGGCAGACACGGGCAAGCAGGCAGGCAATATATGTTGGAAACGAGATGAGATAGAAACATGATGGAAAGCAAATAGAAACATATGGATAGACAGTAGGCCAATAACTTATATGTATCTGAGGAGGTCGAGACGGACAAGGAGACACAGACAGGACAGTGCTTCTTACCTTTACCTAAGGGTTTGTAGTGGATGCGGTTGCATCGAGGTGAGATGGTCGCCCCGCTGGAGTGCGGTTCAATCGGGCCACCTCCTTGGCGACCTCGTCGTCTGTTGGAAGGGTGATACACTCGCGATTGATGTCTCCTATGTGCTTGATCCCATCAAAGTACTGGGCGTCTTTGCGCATAACGAGTTCAATGTGCCTGCGGGGCCAGAAGGGTTGGGTAGTTGATATTAGGTTTAATTAACGTGTTGGGACTGCCCATGAGGAAATGGGTGAGATGGGACTTACGCTTGAATCATCACCGGACTGAGACCCGAGAGCATCTCCAGGTGCCTATCAATGATTTCCCACTGGGAGAGTGTTTGCCCGGGGGGTCGGTTAAGGTAGTGATTGACCGCTAAAAGTCGCAACATGGCAAACCGGAACCTGACGGCCCGGGTGGCCCACCTGTTGAGTTCGTCTCGAGGGAGTGCATGGTGCCTTCGCGTAAGTCCGTTATTGATTAGCACGACGAGGTCAAAGAGCTTCGGGATTGGGCCAGGCGGGCGAACTCGAGGTTCGGGTTGGACTTGGATGAGCAGCTGGGTGTATACTCCAGGTCAGCATGCCAAATCTGTGGATATGCTCTACTCAGGGTTATTGGGTCTTACCAAGTTGCGAAGTGTGGTCCGCTCGTGTTTGACCATGGTGCGGAGGAACTGATCAAGGTTCTGCACGGCTTCTGGGTTTTTGTCGGCTAGTCCAACGGGGAGGTGGGTTTGCCGCCACACAGGGGGTTGGGCCAGAACTTGGGTCTGGGCCCGATGCTTATCAGCTTTGGCTCGGGTGATAGATAGGCTGAATGATTTATCGGACTTACTCGGATCAATGCCAGCGGGGCATGGATATACATATCGCCATTCAATGCGTGCGTCCTGGTGTAGGCGGCCAATGTATGGTCCTTCAGCAGGTTGCGTATTTCGGTGCGCGCATATTCCTAGGGGGCATGACGATGCACAGGTCGTCAGTACCATGTTTTGTCAGTGGAGCAGATGAGGGGGTGCACTCTGGCTGGGTATGGGGATACTCTGACTCACCCGGATGAGAGGTCCGTACACATGGCGACCGGGCATTGGTTCTGCACTGGGCATTGCCCCTCCGCGCTGCATTAGCATGCTGACCATGCTTGCAATGCCATCGGGGCTCTGGGCAATCCGCATCCGGATAAGGTGTCAGATCGACTCAAGCGGCTGGGACAGACTCATTGGGAGACTTACCTCCATGTATCGGCGGATGGCCTCGGTAGTGATGGGTGCACCCTGGCCCAACGGTGGGTTGGCCCCGGCGTCGGCGGCTTGGTTGCCTGGGGGGGGATCTTGTCCGACTAAGTCCTCATGGGCTGTGGCGCCGGTTCCGGCGGCGGGGGGGATGTCCAATAGGTCGAGGGGAGGGGGGAGGGGTGGGGTCTTGATTCCGGTGCCTCCTTGGGTTGCACCGCAATGAAATAATTTAGTCGGCCGGCCTGCGCCATGTTGACTGCCGGTGGCGTACTGGTCGGTCATCCCTTGTTGCATCGCCTCGGAGAAATCGTTGGGGTCGTTGTAGTCTCCGAGGTTGGGGCCTTCATTTTTGTCTTCTCGCGGTTGTTGGGCCCCGAGGCTATCGTGCTGACCACCGCTGGGGTTGCGGTGGTAATTGCCCTGTGGATCGTATCGGTCTAGAGACGGCAGATGATTCAGTTATCTGTTGTGAATTAAGGTCGTTTGGATAGTGACTAACGTTGTGTTGGGCTGTGACGCAAGGCACCGCCGCGACCGGGTGTCATGGTGGCATTGGCATGACGACGTTGGATGGGGGTTATTGGGGTGGGATGGTGACCGAGGTTCATTCCGTTGCCTGAGTAATTGAGGTGTGTGGACTGCCTATTATTGAATTGGGCGGCGGGTTGGTTCATTATGTTTGATTAGTTCTTAGGCTAACTGCGCAACTGGAAAAGGATTCGGGGGGGGCAGTGGAGAACTGGTGAGTGAGGTGGGCAATGGAGAAGCAGCTGGTGTCGGCGCAGATAAGTTTGCCTATTTATACGCATCGTGGATGCACTGTTCTTCCCCAGTCATCACCGATCCGTTCCCCCTTGTCACCGCTTCTTACCTGCATTTCTGGCCTAGAAACATCATTCGGAGTTCCTTATTCGCAATCGCCCTTGGTTCCCACGTCCTCTTCGCAAGAAATTTGACATTTCGCGCCCGTGATTTGAACCTGATTCTAAGCTTTTTACTCTGCCCTGGTGGTTGATTGATATATCCTAAAACTTTGATCAAAAACATATCAAAATGCAAGAGGGTCAGTGTCGACGTGTTGGATTGTACTACGAGGAATGGCTGCTGCTCGGGTCAGAAGCCGGCATATCTGTGCCAGTTGTGCAACAGTAAAAAACCTTCCGTTCATCAAAATCATGAACGCTGGCTCAAACACAAGAAAGAG